ATGATTATGATTTTGAGAAATTAAGTTCTCGTATGTTTACTTTCTCTAACAGTAAACTTGTAGACAACAACAAACAAACAAGTAGACTGGTATAGAACAGAATAGAATAGAAAGTAATTTAAACAAACAAACTTAAATTAAGCACTTTTGAATAGTCAACAATTTTTTTTATATCTACCGCTTATTCGGAAAGTCTCATCACAAGAAGAATAAACAAGAGACTTGTGTGTTGCTCTTTTAAACAATCCTTGTAAGTTCATATTTTACAAGTGGAAACGTGTGAATACAAACTATCAACCAGAACTAATTTATTTAGGATCAAATATAAAACACAATAAGATTAAATCAGTCGCAGTGATAGAGCAGACCAGTCCCTACGAGCAGCACTCGTTCACGAGTATGACGGATGAGCCAGCCATCACTGCACTCGACCATATTTTAGGGAGCCCCATTGGTGGTGGGCACCACCGGTGGAGCGATAAGACCGCCTTTTGTATTAGTTAAGGTATATCACCTATCAACCCCACGACCTTACGTTTTCCACGTACGCGCAAACTGACTCTACGCCTGCGCGAATTATCTATAATTATAGTTGACGTTTGTACTCTGTGCGATGAGTAATTACTTCTGCATTAATAGTTAGTCTGTGCTGAAGTGAAGCTATAATGAGCCGGCAACTTTTTTTTTAAATAGTAATTTGTATAGTACTGTTCAATTTCAAATATATTAAAGTACCGAAATATGATTTTTTTTTCACTTGGCCCGAGAACCCTATAAATGTATATTTAGTACTTATGTATTTGATGCTATAAAAAGTATAAAAAAACGAAACGAAGTCGCGGGAAAAGCTAGTAATCCTATAAATGTATAATAAACGTTTAATAAAGGTAGTGGATGCAGAAACACGGATTACTATCAATCATTCTCCGATTAAATGATTTGAATGATCAATCATGCAAAGTAATGCTACCGCTGCGATAGCACTGCTTTCTAGATAAAGTGTCATTTCCATTTATAATTTAACTAGCTAGCTGCCCAGGCATCGCTCGGATATTTCAACCAAATTACAAATTTCATTTTTTTTTAATATCTAAAATTTCAGAAATACGATTACTTAATTTCTTCCCGGGGCGAGCGGGTCTTCAAGAGGATTTTTCCCAAGTTAAAAAAAAGGAGGCTCCACTCTTCCAAATGCTTATTTATAAAAGAATGATAACTATGACTATTCAAAAGTACTTCAATTATGTTTATTTGTATAAATTATTTTCCATTCTATTCTATTCTATATATTTTAGGAGTATGTCATATATATAAGTGTGACGTAAGTATGACATGAATATGCACGAGTTGAAAAGACACTGTGTCTGTGTGCATGTGTGTTTTTGTGTGCGAATGTGTATGGTTCAATAATATTCATCTAACCTGTCCTCAGAAATCAATCTGTTGATAGATGAACACCGCGTGAAAATCCGTTTAATAAACATACGAGTGAAACCGCGGGCACAGCTAGAGAAATATAAACCTAATAACGTATCACAAAACTCTTTTACCTCCAAAACGAACGTAAAACACGCAGTTCCCTGTTAAAACAATGAAAAAGCTGACATGGGAAAACGTCGACATTTCCATATAAATAAATTGGTCGGAGCAAGTTTGAGGGTGGCGAAATTTGCGCCTCTAGAAATACGCCAAAATAGAAATTAACTACGAATACACTTCTGGTATGCTACATTTAATATTATATGTGGGTATATAATAATAATTATTGACGACCTCGGTGATCTAGCGGTTTATCACACCGCTTTAATTCCGATGGTGGAGGTTCGATTCCCCGCACGGTGCAAACATTTGTATTCATGAGTATGATTGTTTGTATCAGTGTGGGTGTTTTCTATGTATATTATGTATGTATTTATGAAAAAAAAAATCTATGTATTTGTATCAGTTATCTATTACCTATAACACAAGCTTGTGCTGGCTTAACTTGGGACTAGATGGCGCTGTGTGAATTATCCTCAGACTATTATTATTATTACAAAACGCATAAAACATTAAAAAGAGTCATAACAATGGTTACGACTTTGTTCTATGGGGGTGCTAAAATCAGATATAATAAAGTTAACAATAATAAATATAAAACACCTTTATAGGGATAGGATAGGGATTACCAATTAGTTATCGATATTTTGACAACGATGTCAAGTCTTTAATGATATCGACATATCGATGTTAAGTTTTCGATATTATCTACTGATAATTGTCATTTTTAAACTTTCGTATTTAATATAAATAACGGTATTTACCTAGTCAACGTCGAGTGAAGTAAATATCTTTTTGCCATAAAATAGTTCGTGTTAAGACCCGGTTAATAATATAAAAAATGAAAATAGTGAATCAAAATTAAGTAAAGTAAGATTTGTTTACCTGTTCATTTAAAACTAGCGGTACCCGCGACTTCGTCCGCGTGGAATTTAAATTTTTCTAAAATAAAAGTAGCCTAAGTTACTCGTTATTACATCAGCTACCTGCCAATAAAAGTCTCGTCAAAATCGGTCCAGCATTTCAGAGATTAGCCGGAACGAACAGACAGATAGACAGAAATTGTAAAAAATATTATTTTGGTGCATGTAATGTATTTATATTCATATGCATGTAAAAACGGTTATTTCAATATTACAAACAAATACTCCAATTTTATTTATATGTATTTATATGTATAGAGTATAGATTATGAAAACGGTTAATCTAAATGTAACGTAAAGTGAGATTTCACCAGTGATTCACACCTATTTATTAAAAAAAACAAAATCGCAGCTATCAAACAGTAATTGAAACTTAGGATATAAAAACGCAAAATGATAACCAATCACATAAGTCAACGGGAAACGTCGATCTGTGTAATATCGATATTTTTCATTCGATGTTTATCGTACATCGATACTAATTAAGGTTAATATCGATGTTTCTGTAATATCGAACATCCCTATTTAACAATGTAATAGAAATTAATTTACTCTACTAAAAGCAACCCTATAATGACGAGATCCCTAAAAGGGATTTTATTAATATTAAATCTGCGTAATATTATATTGGTTAATTTAATTTCTCAACTAAAAACGTTTCGACATGTATGTCATTAGGGTTCAAATTTATACTAAATTTCTTAAACGATATCATTATATTTTATATTAATTTTATTTATTTATTTATTTATTTATTTATTTATTTATTTATTTATTTACATGCTCTCGGTGAGTATTACAGTATAATACCAATGCACTCATCAAGGATTAAACTTACGCAATACATAGATTAATAGTAATAATAATTATAGTAACAATAACTGTTTTCTATATATACATGCATACATATATACATACATATACACATATATATATATATATATATATATATATATAACATATACACATACATACATACATATATATATAGAAAACAACAACTACAGAAATTACAATAACAATAATAATTTAGACAAGAATAATACCTATTCTAATATTGTGACTCCACAAAACTTGTTACCGCTCTGTGAAACTCTGGGGCAGTACAGTTAAATATGTCAAGTTGACAAATTACAGATACCTCATTAAGCAGACGAAGTGCTCTTGGGATTGGTGCATGATCAGCACCTGAGGTTCTGCACCGGGGCAGAGCAAATATTATATGTTTACGATCGCGTTTATTAATTTCTGGGACCTGAAAGCTGATCAGACCCAAGATATTTGGATCATATCTAATTCCCTTGATTATTTTATATATGAACTCCAGAAGTGATATGTTTCGTCTTACCTCAAGGGCATTATATCTCAACATACCTAACAAGAAGGTGCTCGGATATATATGAGGATAACCTACGCGATAACCATATTGTTTATGATATAACCATCTCATAAACTTTTTTTGTAATTGTTCAATCATCATTGAATATTTTGCCTCGTGTGGATTCCATATGATAGCATTACTTTCTAAAATACTCCTAACGTAAGCATTATACAAAATTTTGATAGCTTCAATACTATTCAGGTTTTGGGCCTGCCTCAGCACAAATCCTAGAGATCTGTATGCTCTGCGACACATCCCTACGATATGTTTACTAAAGGATAAATCCTCACTCATTAATACCCCTAAATCGCTAACAGAGTTAACTCTTGGTAAGCACGTGGAGCCTAGACAATAATTGAAATTAATAGGCTTTTTTAGTCTACTAAATGTTAATACTGAACATTTGTTAGTATTAAACATTAAGTTATTCTTCTCACTCCATTGTTTGACGCAATCAATATCTCGTTGGAGACGAATGCAGTCAGAGTAACTATTAATTTTAAAAAATAATTTGAGATCATCAGCAAATAATAGGCATCTTGCTGAAGTAACGGTCTCAGGCAAATCATTTATCATGATAAGAAACTCTAACGGTCCAAGGTTGGAGCCTTGGCTGACCCCAGAATGTGTGTAATAAGAATGAGAAATATGGCCACCATACTGAACATATTGTTTTCGATTTTTTAAATAGGACGCAAAAAATTTAAGTAGTGATGGGGTAAAACCGACAGATGCTAACTTTCTCAGAAGTATATCGTTATTTACCATATCAAATGCTTTTTTGTAATCTAAATAAATTGCATCAACTTGTGAGCCAAAATCAACAGCTGCAGTTGTATAGGTCCAGAATGACATCAAATTACTGGTAGTGGAACGTCCCTCCCTGAATCCGTGTTGAACGTCGGTGATTACACTCTTTGTTTGTTGAGCGATATAACGGTGTAAAATAGATTCAAACAACTTGCCAAACACTGACAAGATAGCTACTGGCCTATGGTCATTAACATTAGAAGCCGGTTGTTTTTTAGGAATGGGAACTACACGTGATATTTTCCATTCATCAGGATAGTAATTATTTTTTAAACATAAATTAAATATATGCAGTAAAGGAGTTGCCAAAACCGAACCGCAATCCTTCAATATATAAGGAGGAATACCATCCGGCCCAGCAGATCTTTTTGGCTTAAGCTTTTTGAGGGCTATGTTAATGTCCTGCGACAATATGCACTGTATGTGAATCCGATTATTACTATTTTCACTAGCTGCCGCCATCGCTTCATCTACATTCAATTTTGGTGGACTCTGAGCATATATTGAAAAAAATAGTTTGCAAATAATTGAGCACATTCATGTATCGGTACCGATCGTTCATTATGTAGAATACTGCTCACATTATCCCTATATCTACGTTTCGCCTTTATATATCGCCAAAACGCCGATGGGTCTTGTTTTATGTCGTTTTCAATTTTATACCTATAATTATCAAAATCCCTTTTTATATTAAGCTTAACTATTGCCCTAAAGTGTGAAAATAAGGCACGATAATTTTGTAATTTTGTAATTTTGTATTTAGTGTGATAAAACGACTTAGTTTTTATGTTGCGCTTAGTTTCAGTCGTGTACCACACAGGATAAGAATATCGAGATGGTACAGTCTGGCGCTTTTTCTTGGGACACAATCATCGACACAAGCATTAATAATATTGTAAAAAATATTCAATGCAAGTTGTGGATCACCTGTTTGTAACAAAGACCACCAGTCTATATTACCTAATTTTGAATATAAAGTTATAAAATCAGCTTTGTTAAAATCCCAGTCATTTACAGTACTCAACTTATCACAACATTGATTTTCACCATAATATTTAGTTTTTATGAAGAAACTAAGTGGCGGGTGATATTTGTCCATTGGCACTAAGCTGTCAATTTCATGAATCACTATCACCTGCCCCAATGATTTGCTAACTAAAACGAGGTCTAATGTACTTCCGTAGCTATTTTGTATACAATTTACTTGATCGAGATCACAGAGCGATAACAAATATTCATATCTATGATGCACCGCAAGGGATGCCGAATTAAAATTAAAATCTCCACATATTAAAATATTGGAGTACTTAAAACCAATACATTCAATCACCTTAAAGACTGCAAAATACTGAGCTTCAGACGCAGTCGGTGGTATGTATACGCACACAACCACAAATAATAAATTGTTATTACGATATAGGCCGCCACACACTAACTCACAATCGCAACCGGTTTTATTGTCTAGTTCGGTGTCTATTCCGCGAAGATCATATAAAGCTGGGGTCACAATAGCTACTCCGCCTCCGCGACTCTTTCCACTTCTGTCACATCGAAGTAAATTATATCCAGGTGCCACGACCTCCTTGTCCAAGATTCCGGGAAGTAACCACGTTTCAGTTATGAAAAACAGTTGGAATGTAGATGCTGCCATAGCCGACGAAAATTCATGAAGCTTGGTCCGCAACCCCCGAACGTTTTGGTAGTAGATTTTTAATAATCTGTTACGCTCGATATTCTTAGTTGTACTAGCCTTTATCTCCTCTTTTTTGGTTTCGTCTTTGAAACCACTCATTAAAGTTTGTGTTCGGCGGCCAATTAGTAGCAGTCATGAAGAAGTTGAACAGACTTTCGGGAACTGTTACTACAAATGATGCATAATGATCATGCTTTAGTGCAAGTTTTTCGACTGTATATGGTGCCTGTTCCGGATTTTTCTTCGCCATATATGCCTGAACCTGTTCAGCAGAAATATCATTTTTCAATGACCATATATGAATTTTCCTACGTTTTTCCACTGCACGTAAGTCATCATCCACCTCTCCAGTACCATGGTTCGCCGGCCTCCTATATTTTCTAGATCGTACCGTTGTCCATTCCGCTTCCGCTTGTGGACCATCGTTTGTCAGTGGAGCCACATCTTTTGGTCTAATAGTAGATGCGCTGATACCCGCCGAGTGGGGCGCTTGCATTGGCGGGGATGTATGCGTTGAAGTAGGGGCATGCATGACGTCAGAGTAATTGACACGAGTATTGTCGGATGGTTTGGAGCGGGGGTATTGGTTGCTCGTTGTCTGCGAGTTTGTACCTGTACAGGTGGTTGCGGTGGATGCTGCGGGGCGGGGGCGGTTGTCACTGCGTTGTTAGGTGATGGTATACGTTGCTGTGACGCATCAGCTGATACAAATCGAAATGAATGCTTACCCTCTTCCTGAGAAAGTTGGCGTTCTTGTAATCCATCTATTTTAGCCTCTAAACTCCTTAAAATTTCGCCCAAGGAGTTTAATTTTAACTCCAAAGGGAGAATAAATCCTTGGAGCACTTTCGTCACTTGTTCTATGGTTTTTTTATCCATTGTACTATTTATTAACTTAAAACAAAGCTTAAGCGCAGATCTACACGTCTTTCGGCTATGCTAATTTTATATTATTGATAATAAAATATATGTGTTATAATTTATGTTTAGACTTCTCATAAACTTGTATGAAAGGTCAATTATAATGGGTATAACAACCTAAAGAAGAGGTAGAATACTCAGGACACTAAAACTCAGTTTCACAAATAAAAAATTAAAAAATCTGGAAATAAATAAACATCTATACATATAAATAAAATTGGAGTGTATGTTTGTAATATTTAAATAATCGTTTTTTACTACATACATATAAATACGGTACATACACCAAAATAACATTTTTTACAATTTTCGTCTGTCTTGTATGCATGTAGTAAAAAATGGTTATTTCAATATTACAAACAGACACTCCAATTTTATTTATATGTATAGATGTGTAGACAAGAAATCAATACACAGTGGATTTTGAATAAACAATATTTTATTCTGAAGGCATTTAATAAGAAAATATGTACCAAATGAACTGCAACAAACGTGTTCTGAATAGACAAAGTCACGGTAAACATTATTATCATTATTACATAACATATGGTATGAAAATGATTTTCATCCTGGTTAGTCACAGGACAAGGTCGCGAGTAGAAACTACTTAGCTATACATAAATAGAATTTTTAAATAAATAAAAAAAGACAACTTTAATAAGGAAAGAAAAATACTTAGTACAAATTAGCCTTAATTTTTGGAGACTTAATTAAATAAATACGATCTGTTAAATTAAGATATTTACGCGGGAAACTGGCTTAGTTCCCTGTAGAAACGTTAATTTAAATCTATTTATAGTAAACAAACAAACTGTAATAATTATGTCTCAGAACAATTCACAGAGCGTCATCTAGTCCCAAGCTAAGCAGAGCTTGTGTTATAAGTACAAGACAGCTGATATAAATACATAGATCCATTTTTTTTGTATATACATACATTATATTACGATCTCGGTGGTCCAGCGATATAGCATACCGCTTTACGACCGATGGTCGCGGGTTCGATTCCTCGCACGGCACAAACATTTGTATTCATGAGTATGATTGTTTGTATCGGTCTGGGTGTTTTCTATGTATAATATGTATGTATTTACAAAAAAATATATATGTGTACTAGTATCCATAACACAAGCTTTAGCTAGCTTAACTTGGGTCTAGATGGCGCTGTGTGAATTGTCCTGAGATTATTCTGATATGATATGATAAAAAATGTAACTTATTTAACAGATTTACATTAATAAGAACATTGGGAATTAATTTAATATAAAAATCTATTTAAATTAGTTTAGTCAACCAAGACTTTGTGGTAGTATTATAATATCATTACATAGTATAAAACAAAGTCGCTGTCGCTGTCTGTCCATCCCTATGTATGCTTAAATCTTTAAAACTACGCAACGGATTTTGAAGCGGTTTTTTTATAATAGATAGAGTGATTCTAGAGGAAGGTTTACGAGTATATATATGATACATGCCACCGTGCGAAGCCGGGGCGAGTAGCTAGTGCCTTATATAATTTCTATTATATGTATTCATAAAATAATAATTTCAAGTCTTGTTTACTACCAAATCAGAGCAAGCACTTAAGCCGACTTAAGCGCAACTATAAACATAAAAACAATAAAAAAGTCAATGAAAGCGAAAAGCAAGAGAAATGCCTACAAAGAACTATCATAAATAATAAAACAGTTCTGACTTTCAAATGAACTCTGAGGCAAGTAAAAAAAATGGCCTCCTACAGACAAGAGAGGAATCTCTCCAGAGTTGCTAGTTTTATTTAGGGATGTTCCGATATATATCAGATATCGATACTTACACATTTAAGTGGTACTCAAAATTATTTGTCGATACCACTCGTATCTTGTTCTTTATTGGTTCCTCAAGACTGAGGGTTTTGAATACCAGAAATGCTTCTTTCAACCAGGAGACTCTAGGCATCTGTATCCTGTAACAAGTAGATCACCGACTGCATATTTCGCGGCCATCGATGCTTAGTAAGTACTTTTTAATAAGGATCGATATTTATTATTAATATTATTAACTCGAATAATTTTATGGCAAATAAAGTTATTTCTAGGTACCTCTCTCGACGTTTCGACTAGGTTGCACTGGCCGTGGTCTTGAGGTAACTGATATATATTAAATACAAAAGTTTAAAAATAACTATCGATACTTAATTATAAAATAATTTTAAATGTAGGTATAGATTTTACATCATTTTGCGTTTCCATAGCCCTTTTTTTAGGATCATCAAATTTTCGTCATTTTTCATTTATATCAGTTATCGAGACCACCTACACATTTGAGTAGTACTCATAATTACTTTTCGATACTACTCATATGATTATACTCAAAGTATCGATACTCACACATAAAATTACTTCATGGGACCTACAAAGGTATCTGATGTCGTATTACATTTCTGAAGATCATCGAGCATCAATTTCTAGCTAGTTTCATATAATTTAGTATTTCGAATGACTATTTTTAGGACTTTAAATACAAGTTCTAACAACTCCTTTTATTTTTGAAACCGGTAAAATACTTATTACGTATTGCAAGATATAGATACGAAAAATACTTGGTATCTTAACAAAAGTAACGAGTACTAGTATCGCAGATAGAATTACTTGTAACGGATCGATACCATAAATACTTGGTATCTAAACAAAAGTAACGAGAACTAGTATCGCAGATAACATTACTTGTATCGGATCGATACCAAAAATACTTAGAACTAAAAAAAAGTAACAAGAACTAGTATCGCAGATAAAATTACTTGTATCGGATCGATACCAAAAATACTTGGTATCTAAAAAAACTATCGCAAATGAGATAATTACAAAGATGTAACGGAACATCCCTACTTTTTGCAATAATAAACACAGAAGTTGTAACTTGTAAACACATTGACATAGACTTATATAGATGACGCAAATACCATTTTTTTTTGTATAGTATCTGTGACCTCGTCTTATCATGATTGACCCGGATAAAAAAGACCATTGAACCTCTACCCCCAAACGTTTATTTTTAATTTTATGATGACTATTTTTTACAACAATTTATTTTGTTTTTAGTTATTGTTCTAAGTAATTTTTTTTATAACCCCATGACAATTAACACAGCATCATCTAGTTCCACGGCAAGCAGAACTTGTGTTATGATTACTAGACAATTAATATAACTTACATATATTTTTCTAGTCTTATTATGTACATAGAAAAACAGACGGAAACAAACAATCATACTCATGAATATAAATGTTTATACCGTGGGAGAAATCGAACCCTCGACCATCGGAAATAAAGCGCTTTATACGCTTTATGTTAAAAACCACCGACTTTTTAACGTAAAGCGAATAAAGCGCTGTGCTAAACCGCTAGATCCTTTTTAGTGTCATACCCCACCTTAATCATTCTAAAATTCTTTGGTGAGATTTTTAAAAAGACTAATGTTGTGGTGTAACCTGGCACTAAAAAGGTTGGGAAATACTGCTCTAAGCCAAACATAATTCAAAATTCAGAATATCTTTATTCATGTAGGCCTATTACAGACTCTTATGATATGTCAAATCTAAAAAGACTAATGTGGTGGTGGTACATAGCACTAAAAAGGTTGGGAAACACTGCTCTAAGCCAAACATAATTCAAAATTCAAAATATCTTTATTCATGTAGGCATATTACGGACTCTTATGATATGTCAAATCTAAAAAGACTGATGTGGTGGTGGTACAGGGCATTAAAGAGGTTGGGAAACACTGCTCTAAGCCAAACATAATTCAAAATTCAAAATATCTTTATTCATGTAGGCATATTACGGACTCTTATGATATGTCAAATCTAAAAAGACTGATGTGGTGGTGGTACAGGGCACTAAAGAGGTTGGGAAACACTGCTCTAAGCCAAACATAATTCAAAATTCGAAATATCTTTATTCATGTAGGTCTTACAGACTCTTATGATATGTCTAATCTACCGTCGGTTCGGAATGATTTCGAGATGAGAAGAACTGATAAGAAACTCACCTCGTATT